GTAGGACTTGTCTATTCCCAACTTCTTCTTTTTTTTTTTTTTTACCTCGCATGTATTTCTCCACTGGGGATTTTTGCTGCTATCTTTCTGATCGCTGCATTTGTTCTTTTGTGAAAATTCATGATGTTTCAAGTATTCTCCGCAGACGATTGTTCAAGTCTTTTGTTGATCACCATGTCTCTGAATCATACATCAGAACAGACTTGAAACCTTTTGAGTTAGAACTCAACATATCAAGACCGTGATTCAGTGTTGTTTTTGTATCAGGATTGTAACTTGTAAATCAATATAACCAATAATAACTGCTGTATACCCTCTTAAGTGCCACTTTGAAACAAACACTAATGGGGGCCTGGCTTAAGTTTGAATTCCTTTCCACTTTTATAATCTCTAATCCGGACACGTGTGAATGAATTCACGGTGATGTGGTTGGAGGTTTTTAAAAACAGAAATAATTGCTTGTGATATTTTTTTTTCTCTTCTTCTTGTTTTGTTTACGTTACAATATGTATTTAATACACGTACTGTGTCATCGTTGTAGAGTCTCATAACTGTAAATTATAGTTTTGAAAGTATTTTAAACTTTAAATATAAGTCAGCCTGCTTTAGATTGATATACAGGTTATGGTATTGGTATATTTATGTATTAATCTTTTGAAGAAGAAACTTTTTTTTTCTTGCAAAGTTTTTGAAAAAAAAATGATTGATTTTTATTAATTGAACCTTTTCAGTTTCTATCAATATGTGATTAAATCATATTATTATATTACAAGTTGTTGTTTTTACGAAGCAAAAAAAAAAATCGTATTCATTGTGATTAATGTTTAAAGTGACATTGTTATATCATAAACAAATGATTGATGGAGAAGGTTACTTCAGGTATAAAAAAAAATCTTCCAACATCTGTTTGAGTTGATCTGTCTTATCTAAACAACGCACCTCATTTTCCTATACATCGTCATGATTCTCCACGGCGAGAAGTTGTCCAAACGTGCTTCAAGAGTTTTGGTTTTAGAGAGTAACGTCCAGTGATGTTTAATCTCTAACCCATCCTTGGAAGTGGTGCCTCGTTATAAAGTGCCTTATGTTAAAGTCCTCTTTTCACCATATATATACTTTAAAAAATCTAATTCTATTAATTATTCATTGAATGTTTCACTAATTGTAATTGAAACACAATGCATGCAAAACTTATCGTGTTGTAATGGATCTACAACAATGACATGTCTTCTTTAAAATATTATGAACAAAAGTACCCTTTTTCTTACCATTAAAATCCTGTAGGCGCTGTAGGATATTTGTGATACTGAGGTTGGTATTGTCATTTAATCGTCGCCTTGTCTGTTATACCATTATTTTTTTGGGGGGGTCTCATTTCAATTTTTTTTTTTTAAATGTCTAACTTCTTTTTCATAAAGAATGTTTGTTTTAACTTACGATTTGATAAGCAGATTTGAACATAATGTTATAGAATATATTTACAGACGAAAACAAAATATCATCTTGAGGCTCAGATAATTGTATTAACCAAGTGCAGTTATTTAAATAATTTCTTTTCTTTTTTACTGGAATGTTGAAGTCTGGTCCTTCATATCTAACTCTTCATGTGATAGAATCATTTTACACTGTCACTACTGTGTTTCTTTTATTTTAAATTGTAAGTTGTTCCGTACGCTTTCTGTACCAATTACGTTAGCTGTCTTTGAAAAAAAAAAAGAATGATATTTACTTTTTGAAAATGGCATCAGTTTAAAGTCAGTGTTTGATTAGTATTTTTTAAAAATACATATATTTTTTCCTCAAAATTAATTCCTGGTACGGTAATTAAAAATAATAAGTATTGCCTCAAAATTATTTTATTTTTAACATTACAACCAATTAATTTTCAAGTACTGACGCAATGCTCTCCATGCAGAAAAAGGATCATTACATTGTAAGAAACGTGGTCTTAACCTTGATCAGTTTTTAATTCATACATGCAACACACTGAGGAATGTTGAAAAGAGCCCAAAAAAGTTATGCTTTGTGAATTATCTTTTTTTTAAAACATCATTATAATGATTTTTTCCCCATTAAAATAGTGGCTATACATAATCCCCTAGATTGATGTAACAGCACGGCTTAGACTACATGTGGCTGATTGAACAAAATAAACATGAAAAACAACGTACACAAAACACTTTGTTTTTTAATTACAATCATTTTTGTCGTTGATGTTGATGTTTTAATGTATGTATTTGAGGACATAAAATTACGTAAAGGCGTATAGCCATATTCTACGCAATGACGATTGGAGTGATCTTGGCCTGAGAGAATATATATCGTCTATAGCCCTTAGCTTGAAATACGCGTTAGCAGACTTTCGTCAAAGGGTTGAATACCTAGGTGCAAGCAGAGGTTCGCTTAAGTTTGATTACATGCCTGTAATTAAGATTGTGAGCACGGTTGAATGGTTGAAATCAGATTTCTTGTAAATGTCATCGCCTATGGCACAAGCTTGTTGAACGATTTTCAGAGTGAGCTTCGGGAATGTCAAGCTTGGCAAGTCAAAGTCAGTGTTGAAAAGTTAAAGTCAAGGGTTGACAGTTCCAAGTCAGCGGTGATGGTTAAGAGTTCTGACAAAGCAAAGTCAGTGCCGACAAGTCAAAGTAAGTGCCGACAAGTCAAAGTAAGTGCCGACAAGACAAAGAAAGCGCCGACAAGTCAAAGTAAGCGCCGACAAGTCAAAGTAAGCGCCGACAAGTCAAAGTAAGCGCCGACAAGTCAAAGTAAGCGCCGACAAGTCAAAGTAAGTGCCGACAAGACAAAGTAAGTGCCGATGTATCAAAGTTGTTGCTGACGATTCCAACAACACCAATGTGTCCAGGAATGGTTACATTTGTCACCTGGCAAATCTTTGCGCACATGCTGGATTAAAACAGTTGTCACTTCCTGTAAATGAACTTTTAAAAAAAAATGGTTTTGGGCCTGAACAAACTACAGAGGTTGAGTTTACCAGCCTTTGGCTTGTTGTTATGGGCCTAAACAAACTACAGAGTTTGAGTTTACCAAAGATTGGCTTGGTGTAATGGGCCTGAATAAACTACAGAGGTTGAGTTTACCAAAAAT